TTTAGAGACACTGTTTCTGCCTATGCGTTCTGCAGGGTAAATAAATACATTTTACCAGACTCTAGTAGAGAAGTTCACAGAATCAGACAGCAATCTTCAAAGCACCTAAAAACAAGAATGAGTTTCCACATTTAGGATCTGTACCTGGGGTGGTCTAACATGTAATGGCCTTCATTACCACTCCCCCGTACCCGCCCCTGTGAAGACTTGGGAACAGATGGGTTGGTAAAATGACTCTGAATAGACCAGGTATATCAGTAGGTGCCTGTAAAGTCAGCACTCTGGAGAAGGAGTCAGGAGGATCAGAAATCCAAAGCTCAAGGTCAGCTGTGTAGCAAATTTAAGACCAGTTTGGCCTCCAAAGGATCTATTTAAACGCAAACATACAAACAAAACCACTTCTTTGGAGAAGAAACCCCGGAGCAGTGGAGCATCCCAAGCCCCTCTCTGAACAGAGACTCCCTGGGGGCTTCTGAAGTATGCAAAGATGAAGTCTGAAAGACAGAAGCAAAGAAGCACCTCTCACGGAGACCCGCCTCCTGGCCCTGGTCTGAGGTGAGCCACAGCGAGACTATACTGTGCTTACAAACCTACGAATCTGCAATCGACAATGTGCCGAGAGTGAGACCCTTTGGAGCGCTCGCTCCGCTGTAAACCCAACCTTTATATCAAAATCCTCCTTTCAAGACTCGGGGAGCTATGTGAAAGAGGTGAAAACTTTGCAAGAACCAGGGACCGTGGTGACTCCGAAGGAAGAGCGTCTTCCGGGTACAGCAAAGCTGAGGTCTAGACGAGCCCATGGAGACCGTGACAACATGCGGGAGATGTGCGCAAGCCCAAGCCGCAGAAAAATCTCAGGACAGAGACACGGAAGTGAGTTCGAAGACCTACCACTAACCAAAAAGCTGTTTGCCATTGGTGCCTTCTGAGAGAAGGAAAACCAGTTTTCACCAGTAGAGTAAACTGAGCAGGCCCCATGCTCGGGAGTAGAGGCCAACACAAAAATAGACTCCATGATTTTTGTTTGCGTCTTTGTTTTGTTATTTTTGGTCTTTTTGGTTTGTTTTACTTTTTTTCTCAATAGAGAAAAAGAACACGAATTTGGGTGGAGAGGGCGTGGTAGGATCTAAAATTAGTTGGGGTAGAGGAAAGAATATGATCAAAATACATTGTGTAAAAAAAAATTTAAGAAGAAGCCAATACATAAAAAAAAAAAAAAAAAAACATGGGTCAGAGGCTGGAGCAATGACTCAGTGGTTAAGAACACTTACTACTCTTGCAGAGGACCTGAGTTTGGTGCCCAGCACCCACATAGGGGCTCACAAGTACTCAATAACTCCAGTTCCAGGGGCTCCAACACCCTCTGACCTCCGAGGACACCAGGCATGCGCATGACGCACAAACATACACACAAGCAAACAAATAAATAAACTGTAGAACAGCCATCACAATCACACAAATAATGAGACTAAGCATCCCTGCCTCCGGGACAGAACCCGGGCCGGTAAAGGATGACATAACCCGATTCCATGCCCTTCTCCCTCTCTTTTCTCTCCTCTGGGGTTGAGTGCCCGTGCACACTGGCCTTGTCTTACAGGCCCACGAGTTCTTAGCTGGGACATAGGATCATGCAGAGACCTCCACGGGGACACGTGGACGTATCTCCATGAGGGTAGAGGTGTCCTGGCGCTGTTGGCAGTCCCTGGAGAGGAAAGGGTTAAAGCCACAGCCTACTCCACATATTTGTTTATTTGCTGACTTGGTTACTGTCCATGTGCTAGACACGTGAGCTCATGAACACAAGGACCTTGCCCATCTTGTTCTCTCGCAGACTCTCAGCATATGACACCAGGAAGGCATCTAGCAATTACATCTTAGGAGGGTGATTAGGTCTTAGGCAACGCCATGCAGATTCCCCAAACACGACCAGGTCTGAAGAGAGGCCTGTGTGCCCTGTCTTCTTATCTGCCCTCTAGGGTGACCTGGTGTCCTAGATAACCTGGGTATAAATCTACGTTGTGTGTTTACCAGGCAAAGAGAGAGGGGAGGCAGCAGCAAGCACCCAGGCAAACACATTGCTTCCTAGGGTGCAGCAAGGAGCAGCTCTCAGGAGTGACCGGAATTCAGTCTACGAGATCGTTTACCGGATGGCTCCAGCCAGGAGGCTGCAAAGCTTATGATGTCCAAACCTTATTTTCTAGGTGATGGGGAATTCCTAAAGTCTGGAAGTGGAGGGATAACACAGTGATATAACCATGGGAAGGACCTGAAAAAAAAAATCAGAGAAAGGAGATCTCAAAATTGGGAAGGCCAGTTACAAGTTTGGGGGACAGAGATGAAATGACAATTAAGGGGAGTAGTGGAGGGGAAGGTGACTCTATTAGATGCTAAGTGTAGACACTCAAAGGAGGCCTGTGGGTCTTGTTGAAGCCAAAGAAGAAAATGAAAACACCTCATTGAAGTGTAGGTCATCCAAAAAAGCCAAGGAAAGTAAAATCATCTCCCCAGGAAAAGCATATACAAAAATGTGGGTACAATGGCAAAGGAGTCACACACTATGTCTCTCACCTGAGCAAAGGATCTTCATTAAGAACCCCTAAGTAAGAAGAGGAAGAATGACCTCAGAGAGGGTGGGAAGAAAGACCCCCATGGATGCTGACTGCCCCAGAGGCAGTGCCCGTACCAGATCGGAACGGTTTAAACAGTAGCACAATGGGCAAGATGGGGGTGCAAAAAAAGCAGACCTTTGCTCTCCAGTGCACTAGCTCATGGCAGGAGATGAAGAGGGGGATGGGGCCGCCATGATTTCTAGGAGTTTGGGGGAGGCAGGTTGCTCAGGTCTTAGCACACAGAAGAAAAGTCATGGGAGGTCTCAGGTGAGTGTTTTCTTGACCGGCCACAGGTATCCATCCTTATGAGAAGAGTAAGGCGAGGCTCTCCCTTTGTCCAGGACTGCACTCACGGAAGCCAGCCTGCACACTGCTGCCCTCATCCCGTGTGACCCCCGAGGTAGCCATGGTCAGGAGCATCCTCAGGAGAAACTTCATCCATCCCAGTCTCTGTGGCAAGAATTGAAGATTTTTGAAACTTTTCTGTGGTTGTTGTTCTTTCTTATGTAAGGATGTGATTTTTAGAGCAGGCCTTCCTCTTGGACGTGGCACACTTGAAGCAAGTGTATATTGAATTCTGTTTCCCAAATGTGTAATATATTGGTACATGATTTTTAGAATAATGTTATTTCTGACCCTATCTTATCATCCTTATCCCCCCATATACACATACTTATTTTTACTTTTTTTGTAGGTTATGTATTCCTGTAAATGATCCTCAATTCTTTTCTGGGACAGCATGGCACATAAACACAAGGAAATACATGAGATATAGCAGAAGGAGTTCTTAAAGTCCGGAACGTTGTGACTGGGAAGATTATGGGATGTGACGATAAGGAGTGTGTTATTAGGCCAGTCCAACAGGGACCCAGAGGTGCCAGGCAGTCTCTGTCTGGGCCACCTCTTTTTTTCTGTTTACTGGCTGTGAGACCTGCTGTTCTTTAGCTCTTAGATAGTCACCTCTTTGCATTTGGGGGGTGGCTTAAACGAGGTAGTGTGTGGAAACGCATAGGTCAGCATTGTGTCAGCATTAGCTGCTGTTATTACTAACATCGCCATGGTAGTTGGTAGGTCTACCCTCTTGGCCACGTCTGCTGGCACACTGGCACTGTCAGAAAGCCCCCTNGAGCCCCTGCCTAGAATCCCCCAGTGAGGGGCTGGGGTTTGGCTCAGTGGTAGAGCCCCTGCCTAGAATCCCCCAGTGAGGGGTTGGGGTGTGGCTCAGGGTAGAGCGCTTGCCTAGAATCCCCCAGTGTGGGGCTGGGGACAGCTTCAGCTGTAACATGAGAGAGGCCCTAAATTCAGTCTGTAGCAACACACACACAGGGAAGGCATTCTTGCTTTTAATATGAAGAAGACACTGGTTCTGATGTGACTGCCTGTTTCTCCGTGTGTTAAGATGGGAACCATTTTCCTGCTGAAGTTGTAGCAATGGCGGTGTGTAGGCCACCTGTTCCCACACAGAATGAAAAAGCCCCTGGTGTCTGAGGTGAGAAACATCCATTATCCACTCTGCACTCTCAGTTCATTCTAATCCAGGCTTTTGGATTTTTTTTTTTTTTTTTGAGTCCTGTGTAGCCCAAGCTGATCTTAAACTCCCCATGTAGCAAAGGATAACTTGAATTCCTGCTCCTTCCCCCTCCACCTCCCAAATACTAAGATTCAGGCATGCACTCCCATGCCCAGGTGATGTGATGCTGCAGATGGAGCCCCCCAGGGCTTCATGTTAGACAAGTACTCTGCCTACCAAGCTCCAGCCTCTGTCCAGTTCTTTCTTGGGACTATGAAAGCCCCCCCCCCCCCGCCCCGTTTCTAAGGCCCCCCATAGATCTCAAACCCCAGCCCTTCTGAGACCACGAGGACCCTTAGCCCCCATAGGATCCACCCCCCCCCCCCCCCCCCCCCCCCCCCCCCCGCCACCCATATCCCACACCCACAGACTCCAAGCAGCTGTCTCTTGTCCCACACGGATCACTCCTCCGGAGCTCACCACCTCTTCTAGGAAGCAGTGCACACATCTATGTCCCCTCTTGTAAAATGTGCCAAAGAGAATGAAGTGCACAGGTTTAGGGGGTTTGTGTTCCCTGTCCGGACCCGACTGTGTGCCCCCACTGATACCTACAAGACAGTACTGCTATCCGGGAAGGGGTCTCAGCAGAGCCCCCAGGGTACCCGTGGCCTTGAGTGGACGCAACTCTTCTGCAAGGCTCTAAGCTGGGTCAATTTCAGGGCAGCTCACTCTGCAGCCCTTGAACCTAACTAAGACTTGAGCTGGGGAAGATGAAAGGTCGGGGCGAAGGAAGAAACGAGGGCGGCTCAGGCCCTAAACCGGGCGCTACCGAGTACTGGAGGCAGGATTCGAAGAAGAGCTGAGGGCGCCCCACGTTTCCTCCACCCTCATGATAACATCAGCGCCTGTCAGGTGGTTGGTGCGAGAGAGTGTGTGAGCGCGCGCGCGCGGTCGCGCGGGAGCGAGCTCAGGGAGCGCGCTCGCACAAACTTTGTGCCTGCGGGTGCGCCTGGGTCGGCTCGCCTGGCTCCGAGAGTGGCCGGCGCCAGGCTGCGAGGGCCGGCGGCGGCCGAAGGATGCGCCACTCCCCGCCGAGCCGGTCCCGCCGCTCCAGGTGAGACGACTCCAGGCAAGCAGCGCACCGCGGCCATGGGCACCCTGGGCAAGGCGAGAGAGGCACCGCGGTGAGTAGCTGTGGCTCCTCGGGGAGCTCGGCATCTTTAGTGGGGAGGGATAGCCGAGCGGTGTCCCTTGCGGTCCTCTCCCAGTGGGTAAGGCGCAGGTTCGGAGGACTAGGCGACTCCGTCCCAGAACAGTTGCTTCCCGGAGTGGACGATGGCCGGAGACCAGGGAGCCGGGTCAGGACTGAGGTTGGGGGAGAACAGGCGTGAGGCAGACACCCCCGGAGCCCAACACTTTGGACCAGGAGGAAAGAGAGCGTTGGGGCTGTTGAGGTGGCAAGGCCATATATCCTGGTTAGATATGGAGTGGTCTGGGCCCAAGCCTTCACCTACCCAGCGCCCACATCAGTCGACCCCCGTGGATGCTCTTCGGCAGGTCACCCCCCCCCCCGGGAACTCCCACTCGCATACTTTCTGAGCCCCTGGCACCTGCTGCGGGCGCCGGGGCGCGGGAAGCGCCATCTGGTGGACTCTCCGGGCCTTTCTGGAGCGACCCACAGCAATGGCTGCAAGCGGAGGTGGCAGTGCTGGCTCGGCTGCCCCTTAAGAAGAAAAAAGTTTCCAAATCAGTGGTCTGCGAGCTGCACTCCCCCCCCCCCATTCTCTATAAAGATGTTTGGGAGAATCTTGAAATGACAGAAAGTGAAGGAAGAGTGACTATGAACAGTCCGGCTCTTGGAAGCAATAAGGGGCTTTAAGGGGTCAAGGAATTTAGCTTTTGCCCTCAAAGCACAAGAATCCCACAACTGCCTGGATACCGCTCTCCTTATTTGGAGCCGAGAAGGTTGTGTCCTTCACAGCGCCATTCACGTGGTCTCACATATGAGCACACCATGCCCAACCTATGTATATAGCCATGCCCATTCTAATTCCCTGCCGGGTTATGTCAGGCTGAGTGTGTCATCTTGAGTGTCTTCAGCAGCGCTTTGCACTACACTGAGGTGGATGTGTCCATTAAATTAACTCTGTATTGTGGACAGCGTGGGGCAGGACTGGAAGGTGAGCTCAGCAGAAGAGGCCAATGACAGCCCCCTTTCCTTCTAAGCAGACCACGGGTTGTCTCCCTTGTTCCTCCTTTGTCCTGAGGATAGCTGTGCCCAGAGACCAAGTCTCCCAAACCAGTTCAAACTTCCTTCGGCATGCTGTGGGGGTGGGAGGTGGTGCGAGCTAGCCGCTACAGGACTGAAAAAAGATCTTGAAGTGAATGTGTTTCTTTCAAAATGTTGTTGTTGTCTTGTTTTATTTAATTCACAGTTCCAACTGGAAACGTTGTGGCTACTGCCTTTTAAAACACAGCCTTTGTAGAATTAGCAGCTGTTCATTCTGGGGATGGCTAAAAAGCTCTCAAAACTTCCTATGATAAAGTACTGTATTAAATCCGTGGTTCTCAACCTGTGGGTCTTAAACCCCCTGGAGCCGTAAATCAGGAAGTCCTGTAGGTCACATATTAACATTATGATCAACAGTAGCAAAATTACAGTTATGAAATATCAACAAAATAATATTGTGGGTGGAGGTCACCACAACAGGAGAAACTGTATTGAAGGATCACAGCATTTGGAAGGTTGAGAACCACCGGTATAAATCCTTATCTATAACCATTCTACCAGGAGGTGGGGGGAGAGGGAGGAGGGTGGAAGCGGGGAGGTGCTAAGGGAGTATTTCAGTAAAAAGGCTTGCCTGACATATGACAGCCCTGGATTTGGTCCCTAGCATCATAAAAGAAAACTATTTAAGATATTCCTTTTGTTTTCTTTGGTGCATCCTGGTGGGATGGCAGGAATATTTTTTAACCTGGTGTGATGAGGCATACTTGCAAATTCTAGCACCTGGAAGGCTGATATAAGGTAGAGAGTTCTGGGCCACTAGGCTGCATAGTAAGCCTGTCTCAAAGAACAAAAGTTCTTTTTAAAAAAATATATTTTAAAAAAAGAAAAAGACAAGTGAGAAACATGACCTGAAAGTTTTCCAAGGCAAGCAGTCAAGAGCCTGGACAGAGGAAGTACCTGCAACCCATAGGGCGCCGTTGGCTTTTGACACGTTCCCTTCCCTGGGTTTTCATGCCCTCTGTGGGTTTTCATGCCCTCTGAATCTCTTAGCCCTGGACCAGGTTTGGATAGCTGTGATTGTTCCTAGGGAGGGAAGAGAGCCAAGCTAGGAAGTGTGGCGTGGTACTAAGGAAGCAGGCTGCTACACCTGTGGCCAGACATGCCCCTGTCGCGTATCTGTGGGTGTTTGGAAGAGGACTGTGTAGAGACTGGCCAGTTCTCAGGTCCTGAGGACCATTCCAAGGGCCTGCTGAACAAATGAGAGCTGAGATGTCGCCTCGCCATGATCAGCCATCTTTCTGAAGGGGCTGACTTTTACTGTACATTGAATAAACTCTTTCAGTCCCTTGACAATCTACTCACCAATTCCAGGGTGGTGATAAGCACACAGGCTCCCCCCAGAAATGCCTATTAGATGAATCGTGTCAGAGAAAGCCCAGGTACTAGTCTCCCGAGATAGCCCATATACAGCCTCAGAACGGTTAGGACTCAGTTTCCACATCAAATGGTAGCATCTTTCTGGGCTGTAGCTTCAGACACAGTGCAGATGCCCGTGTCGCTAGAGCATGGAGACTCGCTTGGTGAGGGCCGTTAGTGTTTTCAGAGCACCACTTTGTTCTCAGACACCGATCTTACTCTCTCGGGGCCTGAATAAAAATCAGTGATGGCCAAGAATTTGATGGAGTTCTCCAGCCCCAACCCCAGTCTCCTTTGGGTGTCGGTGGCTTAGACTAGCAGGTTCCCAGCAACCAGATAACTAGGCTTCATCGTTCCCACCTCAGTTTGGAACAGAGCCCCATGCACACTGCAGATGGATGATGTTCTAAAGTGCAAACAGAACTGTCCCCTGGAGAGTGGCCTGTGTTCAGAGTGCTGTCTCTGTGCAAGCTGATTTCCCTACACCCAGGTGTGTCAAGGTGGTGTTTGTTGGTTTGTTTGTTGCTTCTGCTTTTTTTTTTTTAACTGAGCGTATGGTTGGCCCCTTCTGAGTGAGGTTTTCACCTTGTTAGAGAAGCTTTTCCACAGAGTCCCTGGAAACTGCTTTTCCTTCCTCAGAGAACATCACGTTTCTTGCGCTCAGCACTCTTTAGACATTGACCTAGAAGTTACGTGGTTGCACTCATTGTCTTATTTAGGTTCTCCTACTAGAGCTGTTTGTATGAAGGAACTCCCGATGCTTTTATACAAGAATAACTAATGTGCAGCAGACACGTGGTATAATTTGCAGGGTAGTTACAAAGGCTCCTTCCCCGTGGTCTCCCCCGGGCCTACTGCTGTGTCCTACTCAGGGTCTAAGTACTTGGTTTATCGATGCTGGTTTATGCGTATAATAGGTGCTCCAATTCTAGAGTGGTTTTCACTTGTCGTCTTTGACAGTAAACTATAAATTAGCCAAACGTGCAACAGAAAGAGAATGGCCAGGTACATGCCGAAGAAGTGATCGGCAATACCACCTTTCATTACTGAACCTTCAAAGGTTATAGATGTGGGTCTCTGTGTGTTTTTTAATAGGGGGAACTAAAACACACTGCGTAAGACACTTTACAGAGTGACTTGTACCAAACAGGTCATCCCCAGTGAAGCTAAGCGTGAGCGGATGAAGATCCACCAGACTCCTAAGCCACCTCCAAGTGCAAATAGCTATTTTTTACACTCAGCTCTAGAGCAGGCAGTTCAGTTCAGAGCCAACCCCTCCCCTCTTTTCTCTTCATTTAAGGACCCAAGAAAGGACATCAGAGAATGTTTACTGGTCTAAATGATTCATAGTGATGCCTTGTGTTATCAAAAATGAAACTATTTATTTAAACCAATCCAGATTTGTAAGAAGAGCAGAGCTGGCTGAGAAATCTAAATATCACCACCGTAACCACCACCCTTGAGTCTTTGAGTTCTACTGCAAGGCCCTTAAGGGTGTCTCAGAGGGCCCCTGCCCTTAGGCATCTTAGGTAGTGATCAAGTGAATGAAACCAGATGACAATGAGGCCAACTGTACTAGTCCTTCAGACCCCAAGTCCTAGCAGCTAGAAGCTAAGGGCTGCCAATGTCCAGTCTCTCTCTGCCTCTCCCCTGCTGGAAGAGAGACGGCAGCATAGAGCAGGCCCTCCACCAGTGGGGAGAAAGCTGTTGCTGCCAGGGAATCTCACCTTGTCATTTGCTGGGGAGATGTCTCTTTAACAGCCAACCAGTCCGTGCAGTGCTTCTGCCAAGTGGGAGGGGTATGCCTTCTGCCCGCCAGGCTTCAGGGACTCATTGCCCTGTCTCCTCTTCCCTCTGTCTCCAGAGCCTGGAGCTGCCAGGGAGACCCCCAGCTGCTCTGTCTCTCCTAACTTGAATCTCTCTTTCCCCCCCACCCCAGGAAACCTTCCCATGGCTCCAGAGCTGGCCCTAAAACAAGACTAGAGGCCAAATCGGTCAACAGCCCTCTCCCTGCCCAGCCCAGCTTGGCCCAGATCACCCAGTTCCGAATGATGGTGTCCCTGGGACATTTGGCCAAAGGGGCCAGCCTGGATGATCTTATTGACAGCTGCATTCAGTCTTTTGGTGAGTTGGCTAACTGCCCACATACATAGAAATCGCCGCGTTCTTTCTTTCTTTTTCCTTAAAAAGTGTCTTATACAAGAGCAGCCTAGATTGTATTTGGGCTTTAAAAATAGCTTTCGAGCCTTTGAGATGTTGGAGACAGTCTGCACCGCTACGGCACATGACTACGTGGGTGGCATAGGTCGTGATGAGTGCAGAAATCTCAAGTGAGAAAAGTTACCGAGGGGACTTGGCATTTTCTTTGCATGGAGGTTTGGCTCGTGGTGGGAGATACCAGAAGATGTTATTGGGCCTCTAGTGCTGTGATATTTTTCTGTACTTCTTGAGGTAGAAAAAAATAAGTCTTGTCGCATGCACCGGCAAATAGAATTGGAAAACATTCAGGTCACTTGGAAATATAAGGTCTCAATAATGCCACGTACAGTCTGGAATTATGTTTGTGTTGGTAACTAAAAGATAGGAGTGTGTGTGTTGCAAGGCAGGTCGGGTAGGGGCCCAGGGGTCAGGGAATAGGAATGAGCTTGTGGACACATGGGCCAGCATGTGGGCACATGGGCCAGCGGTGCGGGTTCCGGGTGCTGCCCTCTGTCAATACATTCAGAGCTGTGCTGCCAGCGAGCAATGACCTGAAAAGATTTATTCTTAATTAAGTGTTTTCTTTTGATGATTGCGTGTAACGTTATGATTTGAAAGTACTAAATATTGGGTTGGCTTCCAAAAGTGCAAAATTAAAATTGATGGATTTCAGTAAAATCTATTCATTCAAAGATTGTCCATATCCCCCTCTCCCCTGTCCCTGTTTCTGTGTTTCTGCATCTCCTGCTGGGAAGCAGATGAGTTTGTGGGGCTCTGCTCTGAAGCATCAGCCCACCTGTACCGGAGCCTCCTGGAGAGTAGAGGGAGGTGTGGTGCTCAGCTCTCAGAGGTGGGGACTGTAGTGTTTAGGGCTTGTTCGGACCTTACTTAGAGACTTGGGAAAGATGTGGAACTTTGGCGAGAATCATTGCGTGCAACTCTCTTAATTTGGGTTTAAAACGCTGCTTCCTCAACATTCTTGCAAACACGGTCATGTGGAGAGTTTTTTCTTTTCTTTCTTTCTTTTCTTTTTTTTTTTTTTTAAGTAATGCAGATGGCTGTGTCCCACCCCCAGAGTTTCTACTTGAGTAGGTCTGGCTAGGGTGGGGTCCAATAATTTGCATTTCTAACAAGGTCCCAGGTGAGTTTGAGGCAGCTGCTCCCAGAACCCCGCTTTGAGAATCACTACTTTCAAGCACTGTGTGCTCTGGCCAGCTTGCCTTTGGAAAGAGGGAGGGGATTGGGTGTGTGTGACTCAGTGGTAGAGTGCTTGCTTAACACACAGGGGCTGGAGTGCAACCTATCTATCGCTGAAACAGAAAAAGCCGTTCGTTCTGTTCCTTGATTTATCTTTACCTAAAAGATTGGTTTGAGATGGGTATTCTACCATCAGCCACTGACTGAATAACTCTGTGTTTCACGATCATCTTAGAAAATGTATACATTAAAGGAGACAGCTAAGCTGGTAGAGAGACCATTTAGAACAGAGTGGTGGCTAGTGCCGTTAGCTAGGCTACAAACATCCTTCTCCTGGCTACCAACTATAGTTCCTAGACTGTCGTAGAGCATAGCGTTAGTATTGCGCGAACAAGGACCTTTGTCCTCTGTTTTACTACTTAAGAACACTGGGACTGTAGATGTATTTCTCATGCTCTCTTTATTCTTTTTCTGCCAATCATCCAACTACCTGATGAGTTCAAGAGTATTTCCTCAGCTTTCAAATAATTGTGGCTTCCACCTCAAAAATGCATGGCCAACTCCAGAGTCCTTTCCGAAAACAACCAATAACAACTCACACCCCCTCCCCCCAATGAGTCCTACAAAGGCAGTGTACATTGTTTCCTGGAATATGTTAAGGTGAATATTAGAGCCTTAAAATCTAACAGCTGTGTAAGACCCCCTGGGGCGAAAGACCTTGGGCCATTACCAAGAAGCATTTATTAAGTCCTTAATTATACCTGACCCTGCACTGTGTGGCACCCAAGAAAAACATGACAGTGACCAAGTGCCTGTTTCAGGAGCACTTAGAGCACCTGTGAAATATCCTATTCAGGAGTGCACATGCACACACATCATACACATATGCATATGCACACATGTACATACACGCACACACATGCATGCACATGCGAGTGGATGCATACACATATGCGTATACATATGCACACATGTACATATATGCACACACATGCACGCGCACATGTATGCACATGCGAGTGGGTACACACACATGCACACATATGCACACACACAAAGAATAATAAGTGAAGGTGTTCAGAAACAAGTTACTTTTACTATGCAGAGCTTGAGCATGGGCACTTACTGAGAAGGACCAGCCACCACCTCACAGCCCCTGGAACATGGGAATGCAGTGGACAAAATCCAGGGTTTCTGTATTATATGTTGCTGAATTTCTCATCACAGAGTTTACATAAAAGACAAACCAGGGAAAGCCAGTGTATGTCGGAGACCATTAGAGAGGAAGCCTTCTCTTGTTATCAGTTGACCTATCTGTTGTGAGGAGGAGCTTCACACTGCCCAATGAGAAGCTGCTTTGAAGATGAAGACTGCTCGTTCCTTTCTTTCCTTTCCCTGCCTTCTCGCCTCGTCTTCACGCAGACACCGAGGAGGAGGATGTGTTTCACTCAGACTGTGTGCTGCTGTCCAGGGCAGCAGCCCCTAAACACACGGGGCTATTGTCATGTATACTTTAATTAGTTAAAATGAAATCAAGTGTAGAATTTAGTTCTGATGCCTCAATAGCCAGCCTGTAAGTGCCTGGTGGCCTCAGGTGGCGACCACTACCTACTACTGGACAAAGTAAACAGACCGTGTCCATGGTGACAAAAAGTCTGACTGACAGTGCTGGAGAGGGAAGGTGACTGACCTGAAGGGAGACACAGTGTGTAGATTGTTCTGGAAACTGGGGTTGTATTCACTTCTCCAGTGCACCTAAGGGATAATCTAAATGTTGTTTAAAAGCCCCTGGGTATTGAGAAGTGTGTACTAAAAGCCCCTGGGTATTGAGAAGTGTATAATAAAAGCTGTCTCTTGAACATTACTAAGCATCAGAACATCTCCCCCCTCCTGCAACTGTTCTCAGAGGAAGGCTGGATTAGGAGGCTTTGAAGGGTAGACATGTGCAAATGAAGGCGCCAAGGAAGGCCCCCAGCCACCCTCCCAGCGTCAGAGGGTTACAGATCCATGACTAGAAACACCAGCGATCCCTTTGCCTTAACCTTGTGCAGTCCACCCCTTCCTTCAGTTTCCATCAGAAGGCAGGCTACAGACCCCACATGTGCCTGCGACTTAACCCGTGCCTGCACAGAGCATACTGAGGTGGATCATCACAGCCAGGAGCACTTGTGTCTGATGGGTACGGATCACAGCAGTGGCTACTGAGCTTCAAAGCCGATGAGATCACTTAAGCGTTTCATTTCTTTCTTTCTTTGCATTGGGGCCAGGTGGGGGAAAAAAATCAAACAGCCCAATTCATGAATCTCTTTCATGTCTCCTTTCTGTGCAAGACAACTTCTGGTAGCATTAGAAAAGAGTTGCGCACGGGTCCTCGCAAGCACCCTGGCAAGCTGCTCCCCTGTGTCCAGGGTGGGCTGTCACAGCCAAGGACAGTGCATCCAAGTAGCTTACATTTGTGGGGTGTTATTTTTTCCTTAGTGTTCCATATGTATTGATTTTTTTCTTTTATAGTCAAAACAAACCTGAACTAGGTCAGGTATTATTATTATCTCCATTGGATGAATAAGGAGAAAAGTGGGGCGCCTGAAAACTGAAACAACACGCTTTGTACCCACAATCTAAATAGAAAACATGCCCCCCTTTTTCTTCTGCCTCTGCCTCCAGCAGCCATGTGTACCCTGAGCTGGGGCAGGTGCGGCTCTTTCCTCAAAATAGGCCTCATATTCTCAGAAGAGACTTTGTGCTGCCCAGACTAGGTCTGCACCCTGGGCTTGTCAGCCTGCAGGACTGGTCTCCCCAGCTAGAAACCAAATTCCATTCAGGGCAAGAAAGAGTCCAACTCCACTCCATACCATCAGATGTCTGAGTGGAATTAAGTCTCCTGTGAAATTGATATTTTTTTAAATTAACATGTGCATGGATTGTACTAATGTTTCCCAGTCTAGAATGACCCTATGACTGCTAAGTATAGTTTCTGTCCTAGGGGCTAGATGGGTATTAAGCGCCTTACAGACCTTACTGCATTATGGGTAAAACTCTATACCTATCTTTAAAATTGGAGCAGAGTGAAGGCCATCGGGGGCTTGTTAGAATCACAATCCCCTCTCCAGCAGAGGGAAGGTTGGATGTTTCTCAGCTCTCTGTAGCTTCCTCTCTGTCTACCAAAGCAAGGTGAATAGGAGACAGCCAGGCACCACACCGCGCACTGCACCACCACACGGATGGGCAATTAGAACTAGCAACTGCAAGCGCCAAGCCGTGTCTATAAAGTCACATATATGAAGCCTTTGCTACTGCTGATAACAGGCCCTGTGTGATGGCTACAGCTGCCCTTGACACCTTCCCAGGAGAACTCCCTAGATCTGCAAGGTTTCTCATAGGGGAAAATAAAGTCACCAAGGCACCTTGTCCTTAACAGCTGGGGCCAACAGAAGTGCCCAGCATGGCTGTTCCTAGCCCTCTGGAGAGAACTGGCATTCTTTGGTCAGCATGCCACTCATGCTAAAAAGCCCTTTACTGTGTCTCTGCTGGGCTGGTGATACCCAGTGTCCCTAGGACGTCTGCCCTCTCTTGAGTATGAGTTCTGGTAACTCTGGGGCCTGGGGGAAGGAAAGGGTTAAATTCTCCGCCACCCTGAACTTTCCCGTGCAGCACCATCTCCAGGAGCCCTCCCTGGGTGCTGGGACAAAAATCAAATCTTCAGAACAGTGATGCATGAGAGCCACAGT